CTCCTGCTTGCTGAGGTCCCCCAGCATTTGGGTCTTCAACTCCTGCACAGGAGACCTCCAGCCTGGACCCCTCTGTCCATTTTCCTGTAGCCGATTCCTTGTGCCAGTGGCAAGGGTTTTCTGGAGGAACCCACATTTACCGGCTTTCTTACCAAATCTGTTCTCTCTTCACAGCACGCAGCTTTTACTGTCTCTAGAGATGCCTGGGCTGTGCAAGGGCCTTGGACACAGAGTGCAGATGAAGCGTAAGGCTGGGTAGAGAAGGGGCTGGCATCTGGAGGACGTTAAAAAGCATGCAACAAGATCAAAATGATTTTGGCATTCCCCTCTCACATAGACATGACCCATCATGTTTACAGCTCCTCCAGTGTGCACCTGCAATGCGATAGTATCAATGAGAGAGGGGAAAGCATTAATTAAACTTTTGGTGTTTTTATATCTTGCTTTACATCAGCTTTACAGAGTGGATGCAGTGCTGGGAAAAAGCAGATACCTGATTTCCCTTCCCACTGTCACCCCAACAGGCCATCCATACTCATGTACAGGAATAGGTCTTTTTTTATTATTATTTAAAGAAAAAAGAAAAAAAAAACCAACATATATCACTTGACAAGTCCAAGAAATGCCTTGGATAAGCCCTCAATGAGTGTCCAAGGCAGTGAAGGTCCTTTCTAGGGAAACTCTTAAGTTTACCTGTAGCTGGACAACATTCACCGAGTCTCTCCCGCTCCCTGCCTCCCTCCCTCTCCACCTACTGCTACGGTGACATTGTACCCGAGACCCCCAGCTCATTTCACCAAACGCAAATAAACAAATCACAACAGCACTTTAATTTTGGTTTTACCTACATTTCAGCCTCAAACTCCTTTACACTAATCTGCTAATCCTATATAACATTGACTTCCCAAGAAGGAAGATTATGCTAATCAGGATTTCTGAAGGATTTACACATGATCCTATATTTACTTTTGAACTTTGTCAGAGTGACAAAGGGAATATGTCACCACCGAGCTGCTACTGCGTTTCCTCTGGATTATGAGTCAAGCAGCAGCGCTGTCCAAATCTATGGCCACCAAAATGTCCCTCTAGCAGGCAAACCAACATATTTAGGATCATCTTTTCCCTGCAGATGAAAAGGTAACTGCAACCATCTACCGGGAGTTTCTGAAAAGCACAAACATTAGCACCTCCACCCAGTAATACTTCTATCACACCTGTGATTTAAAGATCTTTCAACTTCCACAAATCAAATGTATGACCTAGATCTGAAAAAGGATATTCATGTCTTTAGGAAGCATCAAAACAAAATCAGTAAATTCAAGAAGTACTAAGCATATTGACTGGAGGGAAGACCCACAAAACACACAGAAATGAAGCACCACAAAGCTACCCAAGCAGCAGTAGAAAAGCACATTTAAGATGTGAAACTGGAAGAATCTAATTTTATTTTAAATTAACTAACAACTTCACATGATGAATTGTACTACATATTCTTCAGCATATGGTATGCTGTGTTACATTTAATGGAAGGCCTCTACTTTTATTGTAAGCTAGGGCTTTAAACCAAATCACCACATACAATGTGCGGAGAAGGGTTTTGGTTCAGCGGCTTAAAACCTATACAAGGGAGATTGCAAGTTTGCAACAGTCCTTGAGTTTCCACATGTCGACATAATCAGGAACATGATGCTGCATCATTACCCAGATGGAGAATGTTCTGTTTTAGAGTCAGCCGAAGCATCAGTGTGTTTATGGGATCCCTGGGAAACTACAAGTGAAGTTTGTACCCTCGGTAAAATCCCGCGGTAGCCAATCCTTCCCTTTTCCAGGGCTGCCCAGTGAATCTTTGCTCGTTCCCTTTCAGAGAGCAGCAGCCTTCCCAGCTTGGATGCCATCTCTCTGCCTGGCAGATGTGTATCAGAGCCATGTGGGAGCTGCCTGGCTTCAGAGCAAGCCAGCAGCCTGCGGAAAAGGCAAGAGCATGCGTGCCCTGGGCCTTAGGGACCTCGACAAGAGCCGTAGGTCGCCGAGCGCTTTGTGAGCAGTTTCAGGTTCATGTGATCGGATTCCATGACACCCACAGACTCACTGGAAAAAAACTGCAGATGCAAAAGAAAAAAAAAAAAATTATTCTGTGGGCCTAATCTACTGCAGAAAAGGAATAACTGCAGCTGAGGTGTAAACTGACTCTGTGTGAATATTTAATTTCCAAAAAAGACTAAAAAGAGAAATCAAAGCAATATAGGATTTCTTTCTAAATTTAAAGCAAGGATCAATGCAAGGGGTTTACGTTGTTTTGCATTCCGATTGTGAAGAACAGACTTTAGAATGAAAGTGCAAAAGATAACTCTGCACCATACTCACGTGGCCATCCTGGGGCAAGTCCACATCACCTCATTCCAGCTATACAGGGCCATACTTCATCCACAGATGCACTTTTGCAGATTAGCACAATCCACTCACCCAAAGCAACCCAAAAGTACGCAGGTAGTACAAGATTTCAGAGTGCCAAGGGGAGAAACAGCCAATGCAGAAGAGCTATTATAGGCTATTTCTAGGCCCCACATAGCCCCAAGCTCTGATGTTTTTTTTCTTCTATACCCAAGTCCCTCCACACTTAGCCTGTTCATCACCAGGAAAAAAATCTGTTCTAAATAACTCTGCCCCCACTACATAGCAAGCTTTGGTTTCCGTAGCTCTGCGGATTCTGAAATATAAAGAAAAAGTAAAATATTAAGTTTCTTGACAAAAGGAGGAAAACATTAAACATAATACAAGTTCACAACTTGTTTCTTCCCAATTGCTCAGTATAGTAAGCTCAGCACCACGAGGAATTCCTTCAGAAGTGAAAATTATTTCCAAGTACTATTTTTTACCCATCCAGTGACTCCGACACAGACACGGAGGTCTTGACGTGTGTCTTTTAAAAACTATGAAACAGGAAAGGTCTGCAGCTTCAAATTTTGAATTTGCCACTGCTAAATTTAAACCCATCCGCATTGTTACAGATCATTACATAAACCTAACTGCTTATCCCCCTGCACGACAGTTACTTTTGACCTAACCAGGCCTAAAGCACATTTCTTGGCCCCATTTTCTGCCGCCAGCCTGAAAGGAAGCAAATACCCAAGAAGAGAGGATTAAAGGAGATACAGGAATACTTGAGAACAGAGAATAGCAGGCTACAGATTTGCTGCTTCTCTGTACCATATTATTGTTTCAGTTTATTCCGAGATGGGTAACTGAGGTGAGGGGCACTGGGTCACAGGAGGGCACGGGTTATTTTCCTGGTGTTTGCATGCCTTTGGGCATGCTACTGCCAAATAAAATGGTGCTTTATCAGTATTGAGAAACAGACAAATTGGGCTGCAATTTGGCAGGCCCTACCCACAAGCCACCTTCATCATAACTGCACTGCTGCTGAGTACTATTATAGACAGGTTTAAAGAAAGCTCCCACTTGTCTACATGTTCTTCCCACAACTCAGAAGAGGCACTAGACAGAGAAGCGAAGGCTTACAGCACCACAGATTTATTTACAATAGACTACAGAGAGGCAGAGCAGCAGGCAACAGAAAATGAAAAACAAGGATAAACTCCCTTCCACAAAATGGAACATGGACACATGTTCCATGGGAGGAACAACCTCCCATGAACAGGCAAGGAGATAACTGAGGGAGAAGAAAGAGGAGAATTTCAGAAATTCAGGTGACTTTTTTCTCTCTACACAGCTATTTTGGCGGCCTAAAGATGAACAGATTTGATACTCTCTAGGTAGCTCTGACATAGACATAGCAGACTCCATAGCTGCTTCTACATCCTCTCTTACCCCCAGTATCAAAAGAACCAGTCACAGTCAGAATCCATCCAGCGTTGGTTTAGGTTTTTGTGCGCTCAAATGCACTAATATATTTTGATACAAATAGATATTTTGTAGAATCATGGTTTTTTTCCTTTACATTCACCTATTAAACATGCCTCCTGTCCTCAGGGAAGTTTTACAATACAACACACTTGCAACCAATGTAGCAGTGGTGGGGGAGCATGACTGACCAAAGCTCATGAATTTATTTTACTTGCAGATTTATTGTAAAACCTGTGAAGCATTGAACAAACATGTCCCCTAGATATGTGCAACACCAGGATCTCAATATTCTTTGAGCCAGGCCAAGCCAAAATTAAAACACACAGAAATCCTATGAAACTGGTGATAAATTCAGTTGTGGTACAGTACCTCAATTAAGCCATTGTAAAAAGACACATTTGGGGTTGACTTTTTTGTTTGGTTGGCTGGATTGGTTGGTTGGTTTGTTTGTTTTCAGTCTCCCACATGCATTATAAATTCATTGCAGGAAGTACAGAACTGAGTAGATTGCGGTACGCCAAGACATAATGCCGGTGGGGAGCAGAAACGCCTGATCCGAGTTACCAAAGGACAAAAATCCACACTCCTGGTTGGTCAAAAACCAGCTGCTCCCTGAAAACAGGTACCTGTGTACTGGTGTCTGGCAAAGCTATCTTGAATCACCGCTCAGCAAATCTCTAGTGCACACGCCTGGCAGTGCTGAAATGACTTGACCTCTCATTTTTACTTCTGGCCAACATTGTGCAATCTTTTTGCTACTGCAGTAATGAGGGCAGCTCCCTTCCCACTGCCATCTTCAGAGAGCATGAAAGTCACATCACACTGAGGTGCCAGTTCCTTCACTGTTTCCCGCAGGATCCTAGAAAAACTGAAAGGAAAGGGAGAGAAGAACAGAGTATTTTAGCAGCTGCTTTCTGGTCTGAGATCTTTATCTAATATCAAGGAACCATAACCACAGCCAACATCTTCCACTGGTTCTCCACAACATCCCTTTCTGTTTCTTTTCCCTCCTGTTCATGAAAGAGGCAAGTTTCTGTACACAATCAGATTTTAATTTCTATTTCTCCACTTTAATTTTGTTCAGCATGATGGCAGAAGCCCCCCTTGCCTTTAGAGATCACGGAGGTGTCTCTCTTCTCCCAACTCAAAAGCTAATGCATCTACTTCTAGGGCTTGCTCACAAAATAATGACCCAACTCCAAACACTCAACACAGCTTTCCATCTAGGACACCCAGATATTGCAAAAATCCCCCCCAGATATTGCAAAAATCCCCCAAAACATTGGAAAATAAGTATTAGAAGAGTAAGTTCGCTCAGCACCCCAGAGAAAATAGCCTCCCAGCGGTAACTGGACTTGACTTTGCAATTTTTGAACCTTTGCCTAGGCAAGGGAAATGACAGGATGCAGGGAAACATGTTAGATCTTTATCCCTTCTCATCTTTTACCATCTCAGCAGAAAGCTGGTACAGCTTAGTATGTTTTCACAGTGGAATAAGCAAACAGCAAAGGGAAGCGGTACCAAGGTACTCACTGTGGATGGAGCTTGTACAAAGTCCCATCTACTCCAACGGTGATTCGCAAGTACTCCACACCTTGGTTTTCTCTCTTCTTCTCCACAACAGCCGCCAGTCCCGCCCCACAGAGCTGGGCGGCTCTTTTCGAAACAGCTCCACACACCTCTTTCACAATGATGCTGTCTTCGCATGTGCTGTCCAGGCCGAGCTGCTGCAGAATTCGTCGGACTTGGAGGAGAGCAAGCCGGTCACTGCGCAGAGGGAAACACATGCAGCAGCAAGGCATTAGAGAAAGCTTGGGCAGGCATGCAAATGAAGTCTTACAGCTGAGACTCTGCCATGATTCAAAGGAAATGGGACCACTTCTCCAACTCTTAACACTCACCAATTGTTTTAAGGCAGATTCCAGTCTGGATTCAGATTGAAAACTTGCTCCTGGCATGCCCTTTGCTGTGTTAGACTGTATTTCCAGAAGGCACAAACAGTAGTTATTCACCTAACTCCCAAAGTCATGAGGGAGTTGAGCCAGATCAGCCACCTGACTCTATTATTTTTGATCTCAAGGCTGAGACACTACTTTCCAAGGTTTTCAACAGTAGAAAGGGTTTCAAATAGCCTGGAAGACTGTTGCAGTCATGCACAGGTACATAGGCAAGCACATATTCATGGGGTTTCCATGTATCCCTGACTTTTTGTTTTTTTTTTTTAAAGTAAGTACTATTTTAAGTCCTACAAGAAACACTCCAAGTATAATCATGCTTGATGGCTAAGGCATCCAAGATAACACAGCTGTGTGGACAGGAAGTAAGAGTTCATATAATTACAGAATAATTCTGGAACTCTCCCAGTTCCTTAGTTCTTGGCTTTTATTCTGGGGCTGGGGGAACAGGGTGGGGAGGTGTAAAAAGAACAAAACTATAATTGACTTCTTGAAGGAAAAGGCTCCACACACTTGCAGAAGGTTATTTTCTAGAGGCCCCAGAAGACCTGAAGGATTTAAAGCACGTAAACCTAACAACTTTACCTCTCAATCTGAGATAGGAATTTTGTTTCAAATATGCCTCTTTTCCGGAGCGATTCTGAGATCTGTCCTCTGAACAGCAGTCCTTGCTTGGTTAAGTCGATCAAAATTTGTCTTACTATTTCACCTAGGTACATTCCACTGGTCATTTTTTCATACCTGTTATGTTATAAAAGAAAAAAATGTGCTTTTAAAGAGATGACATGTTAGCTCTGTTTAACATGAGTGGTATGTACATGCCCTATCAATTCTCAAAAAAGCAGTAAAACCTTGCAGAGCAGTAACAACTGAATTCCATCTTTTAAGCACCAAAAATCTGTTGCAGTGACTTCAAGTGCAAACATTAATTACAATATATTTACCTATATTAAAAGGTAACAGAACTAGGAAAAAAATTGCAACATTAAACAGAAAATAGTGTTAAAGCCAGTGTCCACACTGAAGCGAAACATTTCCCTGTCCCCCCCATGCATTCACCAGGGAGTCACACGTAATCAATGCTGTCTTTACCAAAAACAGAATGGTAAAGTTCAGTTTATCCCTTGCATGATTTGTATTTTACCTTCGAAAAAACACTCCAAGAGGAGGAACACAGAAAGGCCTACACTTTGCAGGGAAATCTTAACAGCTGCACTGTTTGGTAACTGCCCTAAGGTGAAAACAGTGCTGTGGTAACAGAAACAATGTACATCTTTGGGTTTTGTCTGGATATATGCATTACCTACCATGCAACAAAAGAAATATAATATTAAAATTTCCTTTCTGATTATTCATTCATCAAGCAAATTTCAAGAAGCAGCCAGTGTCTCCAAGACTGACTTAATCAGGCTCTTAGCACCAGGACCATCACATTTACCTCTGTTTCCCAGGGTTTAGTGAGCCTTCATCTACTTCTTTATCGTATTTTGTTCTGATGTTGTCAATGCAGCCGTTGTCACCAAATCCTCCCCATTCTGTATTAATGCACATTTTTCCTTCATTCCCTTCCACTATTTCTATGTTTTTCATATCCTCCATGTAGCACACATTGCTGCCCGTTCCTAGGAAAAAAGAAATGACAAGGCTTCAGCCAAAAAAGTGAAATAGCAGCTGAAACACATGGAAGATGACTGCAGCTGTCATCTTAAAAGCTCTCTTCTCCATATCCCAAATTTCAAAGATCTCTCCATATCTTAGAGAAGCAAGTGTTAGCCAGTAATGCTAAGAGTGCTGTAGTTTATGACAACAGAACGTTACCAAGTAAAATGGGTCCTGCACAGAAAATTCTCAGCGTAGAGGAACGAAGACTCTGTCACAGGTCAGAAATGGCTTTGGCAGCTGTTGGCAAGCGCTGATCAGTCATTGCTGCCAGTCTGGTTGTAATGCACCACAAATCATCTTGCATGACAGCATGCTCCCAAAAGCAAACCCTGCCAAGAGCCTAGCAGTCAGTCAAGCAGTTCCCAAATCTGAAATTATTTGGTGAACAGGGCCTCATCACTTGCAACATGGGTTACATTAACTAATATAAAGATCAGTTCTCCAAACAAAAGGAGATAGCTCGTGCACTTAGCCAGCTAGAAGAGTCTATTTTCCAGCTGGGGCTACAGATCTTACATGCTTAGATGTATTGCTGGCTGAAAACTTGGAGGGATCTACTGGGAGAATCATCTAGAAAGCCCAAAAAGAATTCATTCAAATTTTAAAAAATATTTTCCTGTTCCAAGGCCTGGCTACACAGTAAATATCAATACACTTGCCAAAATGAGGCTTCATACTATATCTACTGTTCCCATATTCTTTTACCCACTTGTTCTAGGCACCATCAGAGATATGATCAAAAGCCCAACAGATTCAGGATCCTGTCTGCTACAGGTGCTGTTACATTCTCTTTTAAATACCATACAAATCTGCCAAGAACTCCGAGTGACCAGTAACACCATATATCAAATGCAAATAAAAGACATTTTACAAATTCCAAAATAGGGTGTGAAGCCCAGCACCTGCATATATGCTTTCTTCTTATAGTGGTCACTTCAATATCACTGTACCTGCGATAAGGCCAATCTCACAGTTTGGATCCTCATATCCACACGTCATCATTGTCCCAACAGTGTCATTCACCACTGCTACAATGTCCAAGTCAAACTCCTAAAACACAAGTCACAATCAGTAGTGGGTCCCGGAGAAAGATGGAGTATGCATTAAATACACCAAAAAGAGCAGAAAAGAATAGCTCACATTTCTTCTCCTGATGGCCTCTCTCAGCATATCAACAACATCTTCCCCCTCACAGTCTGTTGCCTTGAAACCTTTTGTCCATCCCACAAGTGTTCCCTGAAACAGAAGAGGAAGAAAACCATAAGTGAAGACAGAGAGAAGCCTGGAAGTTGCAAGCATCAGTCTTTCCTTGTCTCCACCCGCCTCCCCCCGCTTGTTTCTTTTAAATAATGTATTTCCCTGGACAGGTTACTGTGAGTGTCTAGTACAGAGCGTGTGCGCGTGTATCTTTGTTACTCAACTGCTGATGGTAGTGACTTCAGATTTACTCAGCTATTTATCAAGACACTGACGACTCAGTGCCTTCTAATGCTCTTTTCTCATTTGGAACACCTTCCCATATCACCTTCTTCTGTGCACACAGCCATTGCATTATCTGGGTGGCAAAGACTATAAAAAAATGCTTTTGCCATAAATAATTAAACATTAATGAACATCTACTGTTAAATTTTGGCTCGTTTACTGAGGGACACTTGCTATGATCCTACTACTCCAGGCAATGCTAATTTGTTTCTTCTTGGACAGTGACCTGGCCTGACAGAAGTAGTTTTCCAGGTTACATGAATTAGCCTCCCACTTGGTAACTGGCTCTGGAGTCTCTGTCCAAATAACAAAGAAAAGGGGAAAAAAAAAAAAAGAGGGAAACTGGGAAAAAAAAGCTGCTCTTGAAAAACCTCAAGTTCTAGCAACAGTAAGAGATCAAACACACAGGGTGACATCCTATGGGACCCTGACACAGATGTGTTTCACCCAGTTTACCACCACTGATGTGGAATTTGTATCCTCATCATTTGTCAAGACCTAAATAATATGCTGTAGGTTTGGAAGGCATATTGAGTATTCTCCCCACAAACAGCCCAGTCCTACTGCTAGACTCTAAACGGTGATCTGAAAATTGAGACAGAGTAGACTAGGTTCTAGACTTAAAAGCTATTGTGAAAACCACCAAGACATAAAAACATTCAATAAAATAGCAGTCTCTCATTTCCCCAATATCCTACATATTTGACTAGAATTAAATAGCACAACCTCCCCCGCCCTTCTTTGGAAATGTATCAGAATGATTGAGAACTATTTCTTCCTGAATTTGACCTTTTTTATTCTAATTTGTTTCTTATATCAGGTCTGGAAAGATGAAGATATGACATCTGTCAGTAAGACATATATGTCAAATTAACAAATCTGAGAGGTCCCACCCTTCCAAGCTGAACAAGCAAGCTCAGTTCTGCCTACTGACACTCAACAAAAAGAAGCTAACGTAGTGCAGAAGTTATACAGTCAGAGCTGCACGGCACAGTTAGGAAAACACCCTTGCATTGTAGCTGGGCAAGTAGAAGGAGCCATCTGTTCTCTCTTGCCACTGAAGAGTTAAGACAGCATAAGAGATTCCTGGGCTATTAAAAGTATGTAGTCATTTTGCTATCATAAGGGCTTAATCTTTATAGAATAAAAGCAAGTAACACCCATCTCTTATCAGATACAAGAGGTGAAAGTTCTCCTTCCCATATGCATCTAGGATGATAACTTTCTCATGAAACACAACTAATTTGCACAGTAGAGTAACAAAATCCCCATAATGCAGGTGAAATATTCTCTCCGAAGACTTATTTGCATGTATCTATCTATGTCTTGTCAACCTTGTAAAGTCCTATTTGGAAGAAAATATTTAGAAGAATAGCTTTTTGCTTGCAATCTCCAAACCAACAAGTCACCCAGCCAAAATGATGTCATGATGCACAGCTGCCACCTGACCCATTCTGTGTTGCAGTTCTTACCTTGTCAATGCTGGCTTGCCTGCACGGGAAGGAGAAGGTGAAGCCCAGAGGCAGTCGAGCACCTTTAATCCCCATATACTCCAGAAAGTCTGCTATACACTGGACGATATGGTCAAAGAGCTGGAAGGACAGAAAAAGCTTATAAATCTCACAGTAATCCCATGCAATAGGCCTTGGCTGGATCAGTTAAACATTCACTAGAGATTACCTCTTCCCCCGTCCCTTGCATGATCTCCAAAGGAATGGCAAAAATTTTGTTATACATTTGCACTGATCTTCTTCTCCCACTTCTGATTTTGACCAGCAGAACCCTGAAATTTGTCCCACCAAGATCAAGGGCAAGGAAATTTCCTTTCTCTGTAAGAGAAGAAAGATATTTCATTTTGGTGCTTCTCATGGGGTGTTTGCCAGTCAGAACGGCATACTCTGCCACACATCCACAAGAAACTTCATCTGTGCCAAAGATAGCACGCTGATCCCTATGGCATTTATACCATCAGTCTGCTAGCGTTGGGCTGAAGGGCCAGCCAGATTATGTGGCAGGAAGCACCAGTTTGCCAAATTAAATCACGCTGGCATCTGCCAGAATAAGTGGCATATGCCCCCTGGAAAACAGACAAGCAACTTTCCTGCACCACCTCCAGGTGATCACGAAATGAATTCACCTGTTCCATCTGGTGTCCCACAGACATACGTGGGTAACATCTTCACTGTGGCACTGGCTTGTGTCTCTCGCTTTAGCCCATATTCCAGCTCGGTCCTCATTTTGTTCCTAACTTCTCTGAGGGTCTCCAGTGACAGCAGAAAAGGTGCGAGAGTGGCATCGATTTGCTTGCGCTGAGCAGCCAGCCTGTACGCCACCGCTGTGACCATGGCAGCCCCCTTCCCACTGCCACTCACAGAGAGGAGGAACCGAACATCACAGTTTGGGACCAGCCTTCTCACCACCTTGTGCAGACGTTTGGCATACCTACAGGAACAAAGAGTTTCCTTAGACTCTCCAGGCATTTCATGCATGGTTTACTTCACATATGCTTCCAATACATGCACGCATCAAATAGCACAAGTGCTGAAGCGCAGTCAAGAGGAGCACAAGGTCAGAAACTGGTCTAGGAGATGAGTACAATGATCCTGATTTCTGGCTATTCTGCAGAACCTGTACACTTACAGGAACATGAAGATACCTCTAAACAAGTGGCAGCGCCAATGGAGAGGGACAATGGAGAAAAGCCAGGCAACAGTGGAGAGTCACAATCACAAACAGAGGGTAAGAGTCTCCATCTGGAATCAGACTTCCATCCAGTTTGGGAAAGTTTCCAGTTTAGGAAAGCATAGGTTCAAAAATGGGGCAGGGGCGTGGGGAGAAAGAAAAAAAAAGAAAAAACCCACAGTCAACTGCAAGTGCCCTGGAGGCCCAGGAGTCACTTGAGGAATCAATTGCTCTTCCCCAGACACCGTTATCCCACATGTCAGGTTGTTCCCACCCCACCCAAAGTTCTAAAGCTCCTGAGACAGCTTTGCAATAACTAAGCCAGTCTGATCCTCCACACTCTACCAGATCTCACACCAAACCCTGCAGCAAAACCAGCAGCTCTCTGAAAAGCCACACATATATGCAGATGGAGACTCTTTGCAACATCAACATGTGGCCAGCAATTACCAAATCCTCTTCAGTTACTTACTGGGGGTGAGTTTTATAGAGTCCCCCATCAATCCCAACAGTGGTTCGCATCCTTAACAGTTTTTTATTCTCTCTCAGTCGAGTCAGTATGGCTGCTAAGGCGGCAGCACAGAGGTTGGCCGAGCGGAAGGAAACAATGGTGCAGACATGCTGAACAGCAATGCAGTCCTCTTCAGAGGGAAACAGGTTCAGCTCTGTAAGGATCTCTTTTGTGTTGCTCAGACCTTCCTTATATCTGCCCCAACACAAAAGAATACATCATCTAATGCAAGGATATTAAGGCAGCACGTAAATCAATACCTGCATGTTGGCTCAAAAAGAAATGAGAGAAGACCAGGGCGCAACCTATCAGGCAGCATCATAATTGGTTCCCATAAACCAGTAATGTCTTTCACACACTATTCCCAAAAGTACCTGGGGAATAGACCAGACTTTTAAGAAGCTGCTTCCTGGGGTTCAGTTTTTGGTGAGACATACCAATTAGCTGGCCAAGAAGAGAACAGGATAAAATATTTAGTCCACAGAAGGAGAGCATGGGAATAGATGTACAGCTTCACTCAATACAACAAAGAAAATTATTCCTGGAGTAACAATGTGGACCAGGATTCCTCTTCAAAACACCAGAATCTGTCAGTTTTCCATGTAGTCATCCATTAGGCGATCCAGAGTCTGTACTACCTCTCCACAACCCCAGTATTGCCACAACACAGAAACTGAAAACTGCAACAATCATCCCATGTACTCGGGTCTCCAAAGAGGTTATTTAAACAACCTGCACCTGTGATGGTTAACAACACATTTGCTATTGTGGTACTTTGCTAAAACTTTATCTTCCACCAATTCCTACTTACAGAAAGATCAACTCTTCTCCTAGGCAAAAGCAAAACTGTTCAGGATTGTTCCCAGTACTCACAGATTATAATTACACCTTAATTATCATTGCTGTGCTTGTGAAAGACTAACAGCCACTCTCAAACAGCATACTGCAGGTTCTTACTTTTCCATTGCAGACACGTGTTTCATTTCGATCTTGCCCTTAGTAAGCAGAGCTGTTGACACTTTCCCATTGAAGAGTAGACCTTCCTTTGCCATTTTTAAGAGAATAAGTCTTACAAGTTCCCCCAAATACAGGCTGCTGATCATCTTCTCAAACCTGGAATGGGGCACAGGAAGGATACAGGTGTTCACCAGCTTTCCACAGCCATGAAGAGTTCAAGCAACTTATGTTCTTATGCAGGCTGATCACATTTAAGCACATACAAAAGGGGTTTGGGGGCTAAGTTGTAGATGGGATGCCATCCTGAGTCCTGGGACCCAGCAACAGCCTCTCAACATAACTGAGTGATTAAAGAGAATATTCAAAGGACTTGCGAGCAGCTCAGCCAGTAGAAGCAGTTTTGATGAACCAGGCTTTGAATATGCCCTTTGTTTACCTTCCTCTTCCTTCTTCACCCCTCCACAGCATCACAACAGAGCAACCACATATTTTTAATGACACATTAACAACAGCAGCAGCAACCCCTTGGCCTGTGAGGCAGGGAGGTGAGAAACGTATCCACCCTTCCCACAATGGAAAGGTCTGGATAGGACAGGACCAGGATTAAGTCAACTCAAGTTCACTCAACCCGATTCCTGTTCCAAAGGGGCTCCTGGTGTACGCTGGAAACTCACTCAGAGAACTCAGACTGCCAAGGCAAATCAGCCAGGGAGTCACTTACAATTGTTTTCCAGGATTGAGAGATCCCAGATCGAGCTCCCGATCAAATTCTGTGCGGAGGTCGTCCAAAGCACCGTCATCTCCAAAGGCACCCCACTCTGTGTTAATGCACATCCTCCCTTCATCACCTTCCACCAGATCAATGTGCCTCATTTCCTCCATGTAGCATGCGTTGGTGCCAGTCCCTGTGCGTGTTGGAGCCAGTGCGGATAAATTACCTGTTTGTCCCAGGTCTGCTTTTTGTTTGTTTTAAGTTCACATGGTTGGGAATCAGTCAATATATTGTCTTTGGAAGAAAATATAAATACATAACCCTGTGGTACAGGATGCTAATATCAAGCCACCTGCACTTGTTAAATAATCATTTCAGAGTGAGTGAAAAATACCAGAAATTAATCTAAGGCTTGACCTGTTTAAAAACATTTTTTCTTTTCCAAATGTACTTCTACGTGCCTTAAAAACGCCACCACGGAGCATGAAGTGGAGATGCTGTGGAAAGCATAGCTGATCCTAACTACCAGACGTGAGAGGAATTCAGCTTTCTCTGGACAGACAGACAGTAATTTTCTATACAGTCAGCAGAAAAGTTTAGTATGCTGGTCACAACTGAACCCAGACAAAATGGGGACTGTGGTATTTGATGGCAATGTGATCAGCATAAAAACAGCTGCTTTACAGAAGGCAGCCAGGCTTGAAAATCTGACCACTGTTTTTTCTATTTTCTTCCTGCTGCTTCCTGTACTGGGACACTCCCTTCTACTCCAGATTTGTTAGGATTAAACAAATGAGGGGGAAAAGAAAGCTACTTAGTGAACAGAAAAAATTACCAATTATGAGTCCAACTTCACAGTGCTGGTCATCATATCCACAAGTCATCATGGTTCCCACAGTGTCATTGACCAGTGCCAAAACATCAACATCTACGTCCTAATAGCATAAAGATGGGCGATTAACAGAAAAAAAGCTTAGAAGGCCTCCATGCAGACATACTCCCCAGGTCGTCCTTTGAAGGCCTGGTTCAGGAAAGCTCTTCAGTTGCAAGACATGCTACTTCCTTTTATAACACTATTGCCACAATCCTGTAAAGTAACAAGCATCTCTGAATTCTCAAGTGCTTGGCCAGCCAGGATCTTTGCTTGCTGGATTTCTTTTTCCCCAATCCAACCTCATTTGCCAGAAAAGCAACATGTTATCCGTTTGAATTTTGTGATATGCTAGCACCTGTGTATCTGTCCTTATGGGCTGCATGCTAGGATAATGTCGTACCCCCTGAGCAGATCCCACCAAATGGGACAGAAAATATACATACATAAATGCAGTTATTCAACACAAGACCATGCACCAATATCACACTCAAGTAAAAAGCCTTTCCATCAAAGCTGTGCAGTTTTCCTTTCACACTGAGGTAACTTGATAAAGTAAAATCAAAGTTATCAAAGGATTCTTGTAACTCAGATGCCAACACTAGCAGAGGGCCAGACTTCACCCAGGAAGTCTCAGATCCTTTGTTCCTGCTAACTACAGCAAGAAGCAGAGAAAGAAGGGAACCAAAATCAAGGCTGGATTTTTGCTATGTGAGAAAACAGAATTTCCTCTTTACTACAAAGATGTCAAGGTATGGAAAGATGCTTTGTATTTCTTAGATGACGTTACCAATAGCACCAAACATGAAAAACAAGGCTTTCCAAAATATTAAAACATAATGTTATTCAAAGGTATACACTAGTTCAAGGGCAGATTTAATCACGTGTCCTGGTTTCGGCTGGGATAGAGTTCATTTTCTTCCT